TTATTTGGAGACCTACAGTTGCACAAACAAATGCTGGATTTAATTAATTATGCCAGATTGTTTTAATGACATATTAAGCTTTCCCTTTAGTTCCAACATTTTTGGAAATGAATTATGGAAATGCAACATAGATAGATAGATAGATAGATAGATACTTTATTGATCCCAAATTGGGAAACACAGGCATTCAAATATTTCAATCTTTAAAGGTGGAAGAAAGTATAAACATAATCAAATTGAATGAACTAAAAGAACAATAAAAACAACATGTTTTTATGAATTATCTTATTTCTATTTGTCAATTTGTAATTCTAGGTTAAAAAAATAAACATTTGAAAGTAATTGAACAGTCCAAGATAATTGGAAATATTAACGTTTTTAATTTCCAGGTAAAAAATGGCAAAATGTATACCATCCATACATCAAATACATTAATTCATTTTAATAAAATATATACTTTTGCAAAATCCAATAATGAAATCCTTATTGTGTTACAATTTCAAAATAAAGGAGGTATATTCCACTTATTGTTATCTTAAAATTGAAAACTCAACGCATTATATTTGGCATTTGCTAAATATTTTTAAATAAAATCCAAAAAGACTCAGCTAATGGGGATGTTATAACTTAAACCAGACATAAACTCCTCCCACTGCTGTCAGGCCACATCAACAGCAGGTAATTATTGTTTTTCTTTTAACACAATAAATCAGTCAATCCAATGTATTGCAGTCATATAAACAGATCTCAGAAGGAGAATAGAGATTACATTACATGAATTAGTCAATTGCATGACATGAAAGAATGCAATCAACAGGTGTGTTCCTTTAATCAGCTGAGCCCTGTGTACAAACTTGATCTGTGTGTGCCAAGAGCGTCAAGCATGAGTGACGTTGATCATGTAACACCGGTGAACTCTCGGGGCCCTCGTGGGCACACACACACACACACACACACACACACACACACACACACACACACACAGCAACGTGGCTGCACTTGAGGAATGAGACGCTGGCCGTGCAGTGCAGATATTAGTGTTTCTGTGTGATGGCGCCTGGAGGACAGATTAGGACGTTCATCCTCTGCTCTGCTCCGGCTCCTCCTCCACTGTCTTCTTTTTCCTGAGGCACAAAACAGTCAGAGGGAAAAAAAAAATGTATTGTTTGCTTTGTGTGATGCAGAAGGATTGGGAGACAGTTTGCAGTGGGAGGTGTTGCAATGACAGAAAATGCAAAAGCTTGGATGAGAATGGGATGTTTTGATAGAAAAGCAAAAATAGGAAAGGAGACATATCCAAAAGTCATAATAGAAGACTTGATCTGGTTTTCATCTTGTGCAGAAGTGGGTTATTTAGTTTTCATGTCACCAGAAGGATTCAAAAACAGTTTCCCAAGGAAAAATAATGGGATGTTTTGCTAGAAAAGCTCAAGAAAGCAATAAAGTACATATCCAAAAAGTCACAATACATGACTGTAAAATATATCTGGTTTAGATTTTTTGCAGAAGTGGGTTATCTTTGTTTTCCTGTCATCAGAAGGATTGGAAAACAGTGTGCAGTGGAAGGTGTTGCAATGACAGATACGGCAAAAGCTTGAATCAGAATGGGATGTTTTGATAGAAAAGCAAGGAGAAGGAAAAGGGGACATATCCAAAACATGACTGAAACTATATCTGGTTTTCATTTTTGGCCACAGATTGATGCGTTTCTGGTGTGAAAACCACACCTCATGGTGGTACGCTGCTGAAATACGACATGTGGGTCTTCATTCCTATCTATTGATGATGAATCCCGGCCTCCTGCAGGGGTCGAGGCCCGTCAGTATGAGAGCACGGGCCTCAGCTATACACAGGGTTACTTGTAAAACATGATGTGCCAGTGGGGAAGATCACAGCAGTTGCCTGGGAATGTGCTCTGTGTTTGTACACAAAGAATGCTGTCACCCTGCATCAGACCTGCTTGATGGACAAACTCGACGGGGTTGCGTGTGTGAGAGGCAGAACACACCCCTTTGTCAGACACACCTCTGCGGAGTGTGTGCAGCAGAGTAGACGCCACTGAGTCTGGGCTGCATTCAGGAGTATGACTGTTTTAAACATCATCCCTGCGTGTGTGTGTTAGGACAGCGAGGACTCATCCCTGCCCTATGACTGCAGGGCTCGCCTTTGTTCTTCCGCCGCAATACAGACATAATTACAAGCCTTTAAAGAGCCTCCCCACTTTGCTTTCTCCCCGTCCCACCTCTCGTGCCCACACCTTTGGCCCTGCTCGGTTTCGACACATATTCACGTCCAGGATTCAAATCCTCTGCATTAAGCTGCTGGAGCGCCTCACAAGGAGCCGTGCACAAATGTCCAGAGGCCTCCGAGTCTTCAAAGCTTTAGTGTTTATCTTCATTTGGCCCCCCTGATCCCATTCATCTGTCAAAAAGTGTGGCTCTCCTGTGAACTGTACGCCCACAAAGGTTGTTTTCCCACTCATAACACAGGCTCTAAATGCAACACCTGCTCCTATGGCTGTCAGTCACTGTTTGCCAAATACTGCTCCCATAATCCCAATGCTGCTTCTAATAGCCCAGTGCGATATATTTTCTCAGTGATGATCTACAGCTGCGAGGATTTATGTGTGAATCTCACGGCCACAATAAGAAACTGCAACCTTTCTTCCTTGTGACTAACATTTTTACTTTAATAGGTGGCTTTGTGTGCCAATTTCATCAACAAAACAAGTCGAAAATTGAACTTAATTTGAGTTATTAGCACCAGTTATTATTAGTATCAGGGTATTGTGTTAAAGGTTGTTTTCCCAGTCATGACATACACTGAAAAAACTGACTTTAATTAAATATATCATCTCAACAGAGCTCAGATAACTGCATTAGGTTAGTTGAAAGCAATACAATTACGTTTAAATATCAGGTTCAACTTAATATTATTGCTTTAAAGTCAGTTTGTTCAGTGAAGGCTCTAAAGTTAACACCTGCTGCTTTAGCTATCAGTCACTGTTTGCAAAATACTGCTCCCATAATCCCATCACCGATAATGCTGCTCCTAATAGCCACCGTACGATATAATTTCCCAGTGATGATCTCCAGCTGTGAGGCTTTCTGTGTGAATCTCACGGCCACAACATGAAACTGGCCTCTCCGCAACCTTTCTTCTTAGTGACCGAAATGTTGACTATGATAATAATATGTGGCTTTGTTCTGGCTGGCTTGCTTTGGCTGAGGCCTGTGGGGAAGTCGGGAAGCAGTCCAGCCCCCAGAAGGCCTTCTTTTGGGATTCCCAGTAGTTGCAGGCAGGGTATAGACATGACCAAAATGAGGGGGTTGGACAGCAGCAAAGCACCACCATCAACCCACCAAACACTTTCACTGCAGCTTGCATATGATTCAGCTGAGAGAAATCTGTATCGAACTGCAACACATGGTCACTGTCCTCACTGGAAATATAGCTTTGCTGGCAGGAAATCCACTCTTTTTCTCCTCCCACTGTGTTGTGGATTTACTCTGCTTGAGAGTGAGTCAACACGGGGTGAGAAATGGAGACAGGGCTGCTCTTTGAGCCTCTGGTCACTATTTTCTCCCCCGCAGAATATTCACATGCACCTTGTGTTTGCTGACTCTGCAGTCTGTGCCACTCTGTCTTCTCTTATGTTTGCTTTTTTTAATATATATAAAGCCTGACATTTAGTAAGAAATAGTGACATGTTGGATTAGTGTTTTATATTGAATTTAAAGCATTCAGAGTTTGTCATTCTTCTGTCTTCTTCAAGTTCAAATCTTCCTCCTAAATCGTTTTAGTAAAATAAACAATTAAGCTTTTTTTCCAGCCACGTTTTGTGTTATTAATTAATGTTGTATATATTTGTATTGAACACACAGACAATACATTTTGGTACATCAATGGGAACCTAAAGAATAAAAACAACCAGTGATCATCTTAACTTGTACATCAACTGAAGAGCCTTTTGCTTTTCAACCTTTTCCATGTTTGTTCTTCTCTTGAAAGTGTACAAATCCAACTTTTTGTGTAATTTATATCCTGATGCACTGATGCTGATTGTTATGGTTACCGTGCATCAGTTACCCCCTAATCTGTCTGATTTATGTTGAGACTGGGATTGAGGAGGGTAGAATAAGCTGTTTAATGTATAGCTGTCCTCCGTGAAACAAGCCTGAGTTTGACAAAGCATGCTTATGTAATGCTGTGGACATATGGGCCTTTGATTTATTTATTTTTATGCAGGCGATGTCCATAAATCTTGCTAAAAAAAAGGAGATGATTTCTCAGTGATCGCGAGACTTTAGAGTCACCGTGACTTTATAACTTTATAATAGGCCACGTGAATCTTTCATTAACCTCAATTAAATTATATTAATATTTAATTACAATGTCGAACATCATAAAATCACCTGTTTGTAGTTTTCGTTTGAATCAATTCCTAGTTTCCAAAAACGTTATGAATGATTACAAACACAAAACTATTATTGAAATAACGGAAATATAAATGATATTTTTGAAGAGTATTAAGGATTTTATTGTCAATTTTATAAACGAAACAAGAAAAAAAAGAATGTTATTTTAGTTATTAACACAAGTTATTATTATTATTAGACTATTTTGTTCAACTGTTACCCAGATTGTAGATGCATATACAATGTCACTCCTAATCCCCTTGATATTATATTTCTAATATAGCATTGGGCAAATGTGTGTCCTGATTATCGAACAGTTTGTCACATGCAAAAACAAAAAACGTGTCAAGTAAGAAATGAAATCAAAAATCAAATAAGCCTTAAGACCCCTAATGTATTACATCTTTTATAAATCAGGTATGTTTTTAAAGGAAATACAGATAATATGAAATCTGACATTTTACGTATTTCAACAAAATTGAATAGTCAACTTTATGGCATTCTAGAAAACCCAAATACAATTTCTATAGCCAAATATTTTCATAATGCATAAGGAGGAGGGCCCCATGTTAATGAGGTTAATGGCGGAGCTCCAGTGACAGCCGGCTGCTGAGCACCAATCAGAGGCCGAGCAGAGTGTGTGAGGCTCCGCAGGCAGGAGGTGTTTTGAAAGCCATGTCAGCTCCTCCAATGATGTAAAGAAGGATCGCTTTCGCTTTTATTCGATTATTCTTGCCTCTTAAAACACTTGTGAACATGCACTCTGTAACTTATTACAGCGGGAAACCTGTTTTCACCAGAAGAGCGTTGGACTTAAGTGTGGATTTGTTCAGAGTTTGACCGAGAGAACTCATGAGAGCGTCTTCAGAGCGACGGCTTTATGGACTCGCGTATTAGCTAATGATGTCTATGGGTTTCATGCCTCCTGACAGTCTGAATACCTCAGACCCCTCCAAATCGGCCTTCTTAGAATTTGGCCACGGACATCTGGGACACCAGCAGCACTCCCCGGGACTCTCTCATATTTACCCCGTTCACGGCGTGCATGCTGCTGGACATTCCCAGCACGAAAGTCCTTTTCCTGGCAGCGCGTCCTATGGCCGATCTTTGGGATACGCCTACCCCGGCGCTGGGAACTCTCATCCCCCGTCCGCGTACATGTCCTACCAGCACAACAACCACAGCAACAGCAGCAGCCTGGCCCACGGCAGGTTGGAGCACACAGGTATGTGCGAAAGTCAAATAAAGTGTTCGGTTCTAAACTGTATCATTAATGGCTGTAAAACTCTGATTTTGGCACCATGCGCAATTACGCACAGGTCGATAATCCCCCTAATATTTTCCCAGTACGAAAAATCACTTGAATGTTAAGTAGGTTTATCAAAATGAGTTATTCCCCCTGTCATATTGAATATGTTGTATTACAAGTTAAATGAAGGCATGGACGTCACCACCATGTCCAAACAAGGCCTAGCAGCCAACCCACCGCCTCTCAGGGATGCTCCCTCTTCTTGTTATATGATGAAGACACATGCTGCCATTCATTTTTATTGACGATAATTTTTGTTGGGTAATTTCAATTATGGCCCCATGTAGCTTGGGCATACCTCAAGCACTCGTTTTTTTACCCTCATTGTTAGCGAAACATTCCAGAAAACCATTCCAGAAAACAGCAGGCCTTTCATCTCTGTGTGATTTAATAAAACTAGACGTTTAAAGCATTGTGAAGCTTTAATATGATAGTTCAAAGTCATGTTTCAGGGATTTAAGTCCCTGGAATGATGTGTTTATAGCATGCAGCGCGGAGCCTGTCAGGCATTATCATTCCTATTTGTAGTAAATCTGTAAAATTAAAACCATGCTAATGTTGTTCCAGATGTTGTTGTCTGTCTTATTTTACTCTCAAATGTTGCATATTTTAGTTTTGACCTAGAGATAAATATTAAAACCTCCCATTATTCCACTATCCCTTCAGCAGAGCGGGAGAAGTCCACGGTGATTGAAGGCAGGGACATCCGTCTGAACGGAAAGGGGAAGAAGATCCGGAAGCCCCGCACCATCTACTCCAGTCTGCAGCTGCAGGCCCTGCACCAGCGCTTCCAGCAGACCCAGTACCTGGCCCTGCCGGAGCGCGCGGACCTGGCGGCCAAAATGGGACTCACCCAGACTCAGGTGGGCCTTGAACTCACCATGGGCTCCTGAATGCCCACCGCGGGGAAATGAACATTGCTCCTGCAGAGAGGACAATGCAGATAAAATACGGAATCAAAAGGTGTTTGCTAACATAATAAATAAAAAGGCAAGCTCACTTTAAAACGTTAAACTATATAATTAAAAGTAAGGACACATTAAAGGTACGAAAAATAGCAGCAAGATAGTAAGTGAACGTATCAAAAGAGATAGCAGCCAATAACATTAATACATTATAAAAAAGTAAATATTGTACAGTTTTATTTTACAAAGTTTTTACAGTCTTAAGTATTGCAGTAGCAGATGGAGTGTGGGGTCAAAGATATGCACAATATAAGCCTATTATTATTAAAAAATAATACGTTTGTTAAATAATCTCACTATATTATTCTGCCAGAAATACCAGGCACTCCGATATTTAAAATGTAATGGCTATCTTAAATGGCAAATGTTTATATGTAGAGTTAATCTAATCTAATTTAAATCCAACTTTAAGTCCAATATGACTGAGAGAAAGTGGATGTTGAAACACTCGGAAAGGAAACCTCTTATTGCTGCATTATTTAAGGATCAAGGAGCTTGAACAGATCAGATGAGGAACCAAATTGTTGTGATTTGTAACTCGATCCTTTAATGCAGGTCTTATTTACTGTGCTTAATTTCGTGGCTGTATTCCCTTTGTCAATCCTCTTCCTTGAAATGCTCTCTGAGAATGAAGCAAGGCACATGTTACACAATTATTATAAGAAAAAAGGTCTGAAGAAATCGGTGTGTCACCTTTTAAAATCTTTTACAAATAATACACTTCCTTATAAGCTTTAATATCATTTATTTAATTTTAATTGAAATTACACTTGTGAAAATACGTCTTTACTCGCATTGTGTAAATAACACGTTTGGAAATGCTGAACATTTAAAAGAAAAAAGGCATCATGGGAATAATTTGACGAGCATGAGTAAGCATATTTTAGAGACAGGTGCACGTGTCGTTGTCCTCTTATTCTAAACTTGGACATACAAAGGTCTTTTGATGCCTTTTGGCTTTTGTTTAAACTTTCAAAATAAGAGATAAACAAACTATTTAACTCATTCATCTTAACTGCCTCGTGCATATTTTTTCTTAATCTCTCTAACTCAACAATGATCTCACATGCTTTTGTTCTCTGATCTTTATAGAGTGTTTTATTTGGCCCTTTTAACGCACTTTATGAATATTCCCACCATTGTTCTCGCGTAAAAATAGCCATCTTATTTTGGAATCAGCAGAAATGTTTAGCGACATATAGCCTACCACAGCACCCTTTAGGGCTGTGTTTTAATTTCACAATGCCGTTTAGTCTCGGCTTGTTGCTGTCACACTCGTGCTCAATTGGAGTCATAAAGCAGCGAACAATAAGAGGGCTCAGTTTTAATGGCACTCAAACATGACGCTGAATGGCGAACAATGCAGCGGGAGCAGGCCTGCGATTTGCGGGAACACAACACAAAGAAGAGGAGAGTTATGAGGCTTTTATTGTTCCCGATATTCACTTGAGGCACAAAAGGGTTTAATTGACCGGTAAATATGCTAATAAAAGGCCACGTGCGGTATTTTCCCTCTATATTATTGCTGATTGTTAAGATAAAGATAAGATATACTTTTATTGTGAAATTAATTTGTCTCAGCAGCATATCGACAAGCAATGTGAATTAAAAACTACATCAAATACAAAATAAATAAGCAAATATATGTATAAACACTGTAAGTCATGATAGATCAGTAGGCCTACTATCAACAGTGAAAAATGTATACCTATATCTATTGAATATACAATATTAATATACAGATTTAAGTCGGTGTACTTTGATAGGCCAGCCCACAACTAACACAATCTAAAGTTTCTAAACAATGTAAGTTATTTAGCAGCAGTTTTACCGCAGTGACAATTATGCGCATTTTCTTTTTGGGTGAAAATATGGTTTCAGAATAAGCCCTCCCAATATTCACTTGAGGCCCAAAAGCGTTTAATTGAGTGGTAAATACGCTAATAAAAGGCCATTTGCGGTATACTCTTGTTTTTATGTGATTCTTCACCGCAGTGACACTTATGCGCATTTTCTCTCTTTTTAGGTGAAAATATGGTTTCAGAATAAGCGATCCAAGTATAAAAAGATCATGAAGCATGGCAGTGGATCAGAGGGGGAGCATCTCCACAGCACGAGCTCCATCTCCCCGTGCTCCCCCGGCCTCCCCCAGCTCTGGGAGGTCTCCATGGCGAACAAAGGGGCCCAAATGCACCCGAACAACTACATGAACACTTTTGGTCACTGGTATCCAAACCACCACCACCACCACCACCCCCACCAGGATGCAATGCCCCGGCCTCAGATGATGTGAGTGGATTGTTTTTGGTGTGGCGCGCGGGCCTCACAATGAACTTCCTGGTTCTATATCGAGGCCTCCCCCCCCCCCCCCCCCGCCCCCCCGCCCCCCTCCTCCTATCAGAACTGGATTGTGTTTAAATGTGTGTTTTTAATAGATCTTGTTTATATTCTGTGTATTTCGTGTGCGTTTTGGAATTCAATTCAACACAGCAAAATTCGACCAGGTTTCAAATATATATATTTTTTAGGTTTGTTATAATATCGCTGCAACTTCTGCTGCAGAACTCTCTGAAATGTGGACTAAGTGTGCAGTTTAACATGGGACTCTGGATAAAGACTTTCAAAAAAATATATTGTGTGGATGTCTACTTTTTTGGCTTTCATCTGTGTGGTCCAACATGTGCGCGAGAGGGGTCTGCAGACAGTATTTCTAAAGACGAATATAGATGTGATTTTATCGATCAAACTGTGAAAAATAAATATAGATTCATGGCATCAAGACTTAGAATAAACGCGTATACATAGCCTACAGTACAGCGAGACTGGCTTGCTGTAATGAGCAGAGTTTTCAAAACCACCCACAGCTTGGCTCGTGCTATAATTCATAGCTGTGACATCAGCTGTCTTTCGTCCATTAACACTCCTGACGCGATGGACGAACACTTTAAATACTGCTTGGGTTTCGTAACGTTTTGTCAAAACACCTGCTGATTGATTCCTTCGAGGAATAACTAAAAATATGGTTTGGTTAGATCCTCCGCAGTGTCAATATTTTTGGTCATGTTTTATTATAATTGCATGAAATTTGAAAGGCTTTCAGAGCCGAAAATATAGTTCCCATCGTGGTGAACCAAAGGGGATGTGGTGCCACCTTTACGCACAGTGGTTCGCTGTTTAACTTTTACGCACGGACAAATGACCACACGTGGTTTCCAACTGTTGTTTCTGCATGTTGATGTCTTTGCAACAACAAAACAGTTTGATATTTCAACATATTTTAAATATTTAATCTATAATTTATATCTTAAACAAACATGTTTAACATCTAAAGTTCGCATATTTTAAAACACATTTCCTTATCACCTTGGATAAGAACACACGAGAAAATACGTGCAAACCACTATTTTAACGATCTTTTCCTCCACTCTCGTCTGGAGTGATCTCAAACAGAAAACTCGCTGTTGTCATTATTAAATGACAAATGGTGAACGCTATTCCTCCAATAAACGGCGCCTGATTTACAGTCGTTTGCGCTGATTTGCCTATTATCGCACTTGCATTGTTTAAACACGGAGAGTTATCTGTTTATACAGTATCTCTGCAAACACGGCATGAATCCTGTCTGGTGCCACTGATCGAATGAGGAGCAGAGTTGTGATTAATGAAGTCGGATAGTAGATAAAGAAACATCCATTGACTTATTTGTGTCTTCACCATTCATCACTCTGCTCTGTTAGCTGTCTGGCAGACATTAAGTACAATCTGATGTCACCCACACAGGGATTACAACAATAACCAACCAATCATGCACGCTGTTGTTAGGGAGATATCCTTTCCTTATATTACTTGTAAAACTGTGAATCTGTTAAAATACAGAATATTTGTATTACAGGTGTAGCTCTGTGTGATGTCATTTAAAGGGTCATGACATCCAATCTGTGACAGTGTTTCACTCCCCATGCTTAAGCAGAGATTCCCTTAACAAACGGTTTAACTCAATGGAAATAAAATGATCGAACTTACATTTTTAACCTCAATCAATTATCTCGTAGTGATCAAATGATTTCTTTATTCTCATGCTATACCAAAAATATGTTTCCAGGTCAAAGATTAAAATTCATTGCAAAGTCACACGTTATTTTGTTGCTTTGCGTTAAATAACTTGGTATTCCTTCCTCTCCCAAGCCAGAGGTAAAAAAGGACAACTCCATAAAGCAAAAATGTACTTTTTATATAGTCATCCAGCAAAAACGAATCCACTTAAATGAAGATAGTTTTACTGTAAAAGTACTTGTCTTGTCCTCGTAGAAAGGACAGTGACACTTACAGAGAATTGTGTTAGCTTTAAGATAAAAACACACTGTTTGTACAGCAAATCCAATCTAAATACACCTTCAAAGCAACATGCCATACAAAGCATCAGTCACACACACACGCACACACACGCACACACACACACACACACACACACACACACACACACACACACACACACACACACACACACACACACACAGTCCTGTCTTACCTTAGAGAGGTGCAGCCTTGTTCAGGAGCTCCAACACCGGCTGTGTGTTTCTCTGAAGAACAAAAGCCACGTCAGAGCCGTGTGTTTTCTCTCCTTGGAGCTGGTTTTCTCACATAACGGCAAGCATTGTGTTACATTAACATCTCCTTCTTTATATACACATACACCCTCGTGCCCTTTTTCCCCCATTCCTGATCATTATGTGCCTTGTTAAACAAGCGGGCCGGGGGAAGAAGAGGCAAGTGACGGGGCATCAGGGGAAATTATAGGCAATTTCACATCTCCAGATTAGAATAATGGCTTGTGGAGTTGGACAGACAGAGTAGGACCTTTTCAAACGGAGGCCAATTATCACGCAGGCGGATTGAAGGGAAAGTGAAAAGGCTCCTGGTGTAATAGACAAGGCTGTGGGATGGGTGAAGGGTAATGATGAAGGCGAGTGTGATTGTATCAATGCTGCGGTCGGCGGGGTGATCAGATACGAGGTGTCTGATGGGTTTTAATTCCAGGATAGCAATAAGAGGGAAAATAGCTGGCCAATGGCGGAGCAGTCTCAGGGGTGATTATTGTTATTAACTCGAGTGATCTGACATCTTGGGTAATTGTGAGCAGCTCCCCTGTTAGAGAGGGTGAATGCATGATTTGGTTTCATCTGAAGGAAGGCTTGACTTAGTTTGAGGCATGATGCACACACACTCTGGGGGGGGTGCAGTTTGGCAAGCAGAAAGGCATGCACACAAACACAGATTTAAGATGATACGCACACAAACAATTGGAGGAAAGCTCTTTTGATTTACTATCTCAGAATGGATGTCATGCTTTCAATTGGGTTTGTTTGTATGTTTTCCAAAGAGGAATCCAGACAACATACTGACCTGATTTGTATGTTGTTGGAAAGGTGTAGCATGATGCAAGGAAGAACCCACTGAAGTTTGGAGTGGATCTGAATCATGGTTTGGATACACGGATCATTTTTCACTCATGGAAGTCTTGGTTGAGGTCTTGGCTTCCGGAGCGCCCTTCTTTTTGCTTATTATCTCAGCCATGGAGGAACTGTTTTCAGTTGGGTTTGTTTGCCTGTTTGTCAAGAGGATTTCAGACAAAAATACTGGCGTGTAGCATGATCCCAGGTAAAAGCCATACAAAGTTGGAGTATACGTTGGATCATTAAGCACTCATGGAACTCTTGGTTAAGGTCTGTGCTTCCTGAGCGCCCTTCTGTTTGTTTAACAGTTTCAAAAGTCAGATTTCTTTTGTGAAACTCATGTCTGGAGGCAACATTTTTAGCTTGTATAGGTTAAGGTGACTGAACCCTAACTTTGGGGATGGTTTTATCAGGATGTGATGAGTATCAGCACAGTGCAGGCCCTGGCCTCAGGTCAGCAAAAGTTCACGAGTCCACAGCTGTCAAGGATGCCATTCTCCCATCATTTCATCCCAGTTTACATGGAAATGGAGAGAGTGAGTGATCCTAATGCAGCCGAGGCACGGCCCGGGCTCGGACTAAGTGTTGGACAGCTGCTGCGAGTCTTTCTGTGGACGCATTTCAGCCCCCGACCTCCATCTCAACCCATATCGCTGCACCCCCAGAGACAAGTGCCGACACCACTCTGTTGACCGTTGCAAGGGAGAAGGACGAAGGGCCCGGGCCCCGGCTCTATTTAGGGAGCTGTGATGTTGTGCCACGCAGGATCGCATTCAAGTTCAACAGTTCAGCACCACCTCGATGGCTACTTACACTTGTTAATGTTCAGAGATGACATATATGGACACGCCTGACAAGCCCACACACACAAGTGCAGCCTGTAGCGAACACACGTTTGTCTTCGGCACAAATGTTTCCCCTGACAACCTCGGCTCAGGGGCCACACACGCTGAGGGGCCCCCGAGGGGAGGTCACATGTACTCTTGATGAGATTTCATTGATATTAAAAGGCAATAGTACTCATGGTGCCTTTGTCAAATCAGCACAGTGCACTGAGATGGTGAGTGATGCTGTAGACAACTGGTGTTGAGTTCAGGGGAACAAAGTAAACAGGGACATTAGGGAATGGGAATTTTTTTCTGGTAAATGTTGAAAGAATGTGTGTGAGGTTTGGTAGAAAATGTGTACAGTGCTTTTTACAATAAATATGTCACATATGTCAAAAGAACGAAGATATGCAATTAAATAAGAATATAGAATTATGGATTTTGGTCTAAAGTTTAGTCTTCGTCCAAATGAATTAATCTTAAAATAAATTATGTATAAATAAAGTATTAGTTTATATCAATTCATATGGATTGTAGAGTGTTATAACTCCCAATAACTGAACATCCTTAAAACGTGTTTTGGCTTAGTATTTTATTTCGTTTTTCAGTCATATGTGCTCATATGAAATAATTATAAAAATAAAACGGCACAAGGCAGGCTCAAGATTACAAAATATTTGCCTAAATTAATTATTTAAACATTTAAATATATATCTTAATCATATATGATTTATTTCATCATGTAAGTCTACAAAAAAGATGCAAATTCATTTAATTTCGACGAATATATCCCAAACGTTATTGGACAAAGATTTGATAATCATTCGAGTAATAGGGCTTTTTCCATAATGTTTATCCCTTAAAAAGTCAACCCAAAAATATCCTATTTGGGGGAAATAAAACGCAAGTCACACGTTGATGGCTATATATGTGGATCTAAATCCACATTTTAATTGCTCTTATTGCAGTGACACAGTAACACCTCCAGTCACGAGCACATACCTTCGTAGTTACTAAAAGCATTAGAAAAGGTCGGCCTATAAACCGTGGGCACATTTTCTCTCGGTGCGTAATGGCGCCTTGGTGG